AACGATTTAGTGAAAAACACCCATTTTCCCATTGATTTGAATGGGGACTTCCGACTAGTGCGTCACGCAGGGTGTACAGGTAACGCACTTCAACTTGGCGTAGTTCTCTTATTTGGTCGGTGACCCCCAACTTTTTTGGCAAAATTAAAATCTACTTGGATGGCTCTTTATACAAAAAAGTTTTTTTAAAAAATTCAAACGTTAGAAAAATCATAAAAAATAACGTTTTGGTGAAAAACACCCATTTCCCCATTGATTTGAATGGGGACTAGTGCGTCACGCAGGGTGTAGCGCACTTCAACTTGGCGTAGTTCTCTTATTTGGTCGGTGACCCCCAATTTTTTTGGTAAAATTTAAATGTACTTGGAGGCCTCTTTACACAAAAAATTTTTTAAAAAAATTCGAACGTCAGAAAGTCATAAAAAATAATGCTTTAGTGAGAAAACACCCATTTTCCCATTGATTTGAATGGGGACTAGTGCGATATGCAGGGTGTATCATATTTGGGGCTAGTTCTCTTATTTGGTCGGTGACCCCCAATTTTTTTTGCAAATTTTTAATGTACTTGGGTGTCTCTTCAAACAAAAAAAAATTTAAAAAAATTCGAACGTTGGAACATGTAACGACCGATCTACCTTAAGTTAATATGTCGAGGAAATTCCTTTTCCCAAATCACCATTTTTCTGTTGTATTGCCTCTGTCCTGCCCGGCATCTCCTTGTTTTTCATCTCTAAATGAATAGGATGGTATTAAGACAATTCAAGGGAAAACAGAACAAGCCAGGTACATTGCAGGGCCTTATAATTGTAAGACATTAAGGTACTTACTTCGGAAAAAAGAAAAAAATAAAGATCTAAAGAACTGAGTAAATGTATCGGAAGACTACTGTACATTTCCCAACAGTCACTTGACTCAAAAGAGGTTTTATTCCTTTCACTTCAATGTGGTTCAGTCTATTACTTTGATGCCTTTTAGCTTTGAATATTGTTTGCAAGAAGTTTTTTTTCTTTTTCTTTTATTTCATATCGTGATGTACCTTTTTGGAGATTTATTTGTTTATTTTCCTTTCAAGTGTCCGCTTTTTGACTTGTCGACCTCTCATCAAAATACAGTATACAGTTTTGGTTGCTATTCATCTTGTTTGTGAATCACATCCCTACCCTATTGCTGTGTTTGTCTTACCCCAGCGTAATATGAGCTTGTGTTATGCTTGCAAAGTCAATTATCACAGCAAAAATTAAACCAAGTTTAGCGAGCAATTGTAAGACACTGCATTTTGCTATCATTTTAACTCAAATTATTAATTTGCCTAGTTAGGGTGTACACAAATTAAGAAAGAACCTCTCTTTATGTTATCGAGATTTTCTGCATTTCACTTGCTGTCAGAGTAAAGCATGATACTTATTTTTCTCCCTGGTCATGATTGCCATAATTCATTAGATACATTAGCAAATACAAGCGGTATCAATATCTGCCGAGTTCCCAGTGTAATCCCCACACGAAATGCTTACAGCCTACCTTTAATCAGTCTGATAGACTTTTTTTTTCGTATTTTAAGATACGCAATAGGTCCACTACTTATGTGAAATAATTTTAAAATTGTCATCTTTGAATTTTGTTCATTTTACAGAAGGATCAGCGGCAAGAGTCCTAAAAGCGATTATTATACTTGGGCGGAGGACATTAATCCGCGTTTTAATGAATTATCTTCTTAAAACTGAAAGTGAGCTGTGGAATATATCTATTGGAGCATTGCCAATATCAATACCGGACACAGTGAAAGAAAAAAGCTAATTATTTTTATATTCATTTTATTCAACAAGCGATAGAAAAGCGTTACATACGAGAAAAAAGTTCAAATTTGTAAACAATGAATATAATTAGTTAAAACCAATAATGTAGAAAAAAGGTATACTTTGAAGAAAGTGAAATATAATTATCCTTCAAGTTTATAATCATAAATTATTATTCTAATTATCATTATTCTGATTATTCTAAAAAAGATTAGGAAGTGAAAGATTTATGCGAGAATAAGAACCGGGCATTTCGTTTAACCCGATTTGAATGGCAGCTGTTTGAAGAACTTGCAAGCAAAGCTGGTGCAGCCGCTTGAAGAGGCAGAGCAGGTTCCTGCACTGGCGATGAGTTTTCTGCTAGCGCTGCCGAAACTCCAGGAAAGCTTCTCGGGTTTTATAATTATTCTAATTATTATTATTCTGATTATTCTAAAAAGATTGGGAAGTAAAAGATTAATGCTAGAATAAGAACCGGGTACTTCGTTTAACCCGATTTGAATGGCAACTTTTTGAAGAACTTGCAAGCAAAGCTGGTGCAGCCGCTTGAAGAGGCAGAGCAGGTTCCTGCACTGGCGATGAGTTTTCTGCTAGCGCTGCCGAAACTCCAGGAAAGCTTCTCGGGTTTTATAATTATTCTAATTATTATTATTCTGATTATTCTAAAAAGATTGGGAAGTAAAAGATTAATGCTAGAATAAGAACCGGGTACTTCGTTTAACCCGATTTGAATGGCAACTTTTTGAAGAACTTGCAAGCAAAGCTGGTGCAGCCGCTTGAAGAGGCAGAGCAGGTTCCTGCACTGGCGATGAGTTTTCTGCTAGCGCTGCCGAAACTCCAGGAAAGCTTCTCGGGTTTTATAATTATTCTAATTATTATTATTCTGATTATTCTAAAAAGATTGGGAAGTAAAAGATTAATGCTAGAATAAGAACCGGGTACTTCGTTTAACCCGATTTGAATGGCAACTTTTTGAAGAACTTGCAAGCAAAGCTGGTGCAGCCGCTTGAAGAGGCAGAGCAGGTTCCTGCACTGGCGATGAGTTTTCTGCTAGCGCTGCCGAAACTCCAGGAAAGCTTCTCGGGTTTTATAATTATTCTAATTATTATTATTCTGATTATTCTAAAAAGATTGGGAAGTAAAAGATTAATGCTAGAATAAGAACCGGGTACTTCGTTTAACCCGATTTGAATGGCAACTTTTTGAAGAACTTGCAAGCAAAGCTGGTGCAGCCGCTTGAAGAGGCAGAGCAGGTTCCTGCACTGGCGATGAGTTTTCTGCTAGCGCTGCCGAAACTCCAGGAAAGCTTCTCGGGTTTTATAATTATTCTAATTATTATTATTCTGATTATTCTAAAAAGATTGGGAAGTAAAAGATTAATGCTAGAATAAGAACCGGGTACTTCGTTTAACCCGATTTGAATGGCAACTTTTTGAAGAACTTGCAAGCAAAGCTGGTGCAGCCGCTTGAAGAGGCAGAGCAGGTTCCTGCACTGGCGATGAGTTTTCTGCTTGCGTTGCCGAAACTCCAGGAAAGCTTCTCGGGTTTCCACGTTTTTTTGCTTCCCCATTTCCATTCTACCTTGAACTTAGGGGGCTGAAAAGGCATGTATTGTAATGATCAGTTTTGGGGAAATTAAATTGTGTTGTGGCGTTTTCTGAGCAAGGCGTGCACTTTTCAAACTTTATAATGACGTCACTATTGTGCGCTGATTGTGCTTGTTGGGTAGCTACCAGAGTAAGATTACTGACGATTTACGCATGACAGTTAAGTCTGACAATCAGTTTTGAAAATGAACAAAACTGAATCCTTTAAAACTTGTTAGCAACCTAGTATTTGTTGATATCAAGCTGTTATTAAAATCAATGGCCATTGAACTTACCCACAGTTTAACCTTGACCTTGACCTTTGACCTAATTTGGTACCAGGCTTGGATGCTGGCGCTCATCTTATCATGGCCGTGATAGAATTTGAAACAGACTCCGGGATACAGTTTACCGACGCCTTCAAGCAAGTAATTGAGGTTCACGCCGATGGTAATACCGCCACGGACCAAGGACTGAAAGGAGAAGGCAAATATACAATCAAAACATGAAACACAACACCAATAGATACTTCAGTGTACGTTTATGTTAGTACTGACAGCAAGGGTATTGCACAAATAAAAAGAACCGACATTTTGAAAATCAACTGAATGAAAGGTATTTAAAATTATTCACACCGAGTGTTTGCTTCTACATTTTTTCATTAAATATCTGCTACTGGCAAACCTTGCGTTCGAGAAATCAATATGAAATGAGGACGTAGAAAATTGAGAAAGGCATACTTTTTCAAGCTATAATGGAGTTCAAGTGACTTACTGCTAAACTTGCTTCTGCGCCTCCTGATACTCGGGCACTTGCTTTCAATGTCATTGTCAGGCAATGGGAACACGGCTGAGATGATCCGGAACAGAACCCGGCCTTCACGGTGAAATCGACGCGAGGCGCCAGGTTAATAGTGACACTTATTTTGGCGACATAGATGTAAATTCTGAAGACCTCGATGCGAATCGGCGAGGGTTTGTAAACTGGGAAGGTCTTGGAGAGTGGACCAGCCTGGTTGATGTTCAAAACAGTCTTTCCGAACACCTTTAAATACACTCTTGTCTTACTGGAACCAATCTTCTGTCTGTAAGCTTCGGCTGTTGCCAGGTCAACAGATTTGGAGAACACCTTCAGTTTGGCAATGGATTTTCCATACAGTTTGCACCTGTTAGTCGCCGTGTTTTCACCGGCAAACACCCCGGCCTTGATGTAGACATTGGCTTTAGATGGTCCATACTTAAGATGAGTTAGGCAATGCCTGTTATTTGGGAACTGAGAATTATCGGATGAGAACTGGCTGGCTGAAAGAAGCTCTGAATATCTTCCACTATACGTGCCCCACGTGCTACAGCTCACGTGCTCAGTTCCTCTCTTAGAACGGGAGCGCTCCTCGGTATCGTTTACATGAATAAGGACACCCTTGAGCTTAAAGTATTCTTTAATGTCCTCCAATGCGCATTTAAACCCTTCATCCTCAGTCAGAACCGCCTTATACAAAATGTTGTCCACCTCAGAATTGTCCGCATTGGGCCACACCTTGTTTTTGGCCTCGACCAGATTTCTGTAGGCGAGTTCTCCCTTGATGGTGACGACAGCGGCTTGTCTTAGTTCACAGCTGGAAGAAGGTCGGGTTAACAGATCTACGAGCCATTGTTGGACAGAAGACACGTGCATATTCCTCCGCAGAGCATGGAGGGTACCAACCAGCGTCCACAATGGCTGATCTTTCTGCTTGGCGATGTCCAACACATCCTCCGTCAGTCTGTTGTCTCCAAAGTTTCCAATGGCTTCCAGAACGTCACTGAGTTGCTCTGTGTTATCAGCTTCATGACTTGCCTTCAGATGTTGTCGAAGCAGTTCCACCAGCTCTTTCTGGAACCCCGTGCTGACAGTTGGTCTTGAGGCAAGTGAACCAAGAGATAGAATGATAGGTCCATGAAAAGACGCATCTTGAGCCGGCAGCGTTTCCCAAAGTTTCTTCACAGAGTTCAGAATGTGTTTCGTAGGTTTTGTGATGAAGGTTAATTTCTGTACCAGCTCCTGTCTCTGCTCGGTGGATAAAGGATGGCTTAGCACCAGACCGGAAAGAACCTAAATCGAAAATAATCAGAATATATATATATTTTTAATTTAACCAGTGTTCATGTTTTTAACACAAAATCCATTGCCAATGATTCTATTACTTTTCTATTACGTTTTGCTTTATTTTATTAAACTACAAACGTTTTGCCCTATGTCTAGTAAACTACAGAATAAAAGGAATGGATAAATGTAAAAAAGAGGCTTACATTTTCGGCGTCTTTGCCGCCTGCAGTAATGTAAAGATCTAGAATTTCTCTGCACACTTCCCAGTTGGAGGAGCATTTAGAAACCATCTGAAACAATTTTACAGAGTCATATTATGCATTTCGCGCAAGCTCAACCACATATGCATATTCTAAGTTGTATTTTGGATAAAAATAGTTGCTTAGTTTTCCAATTAGATAATATGCAAAAGAGAAAGAAAGAAGAGAAAATATTACAGAATAACTTATAAGTCACTTTCAATTAGATACTAACTATTTGACGATGCTATATCTAACGCCAAAAGAGATGGTTTGTATTGTTAGTTATACTAGATTTCTAACCAAAACGATAGCACCCATAAAAAAATTAATAAATGTTGTTTGTTTACTTACATCTTTTGTCAGTTTAATAAGTTGAGTGGCGAGAGCTGGCTTTTTGGCATCTTCCTTAGAAATGTTGCCGTGAACGAGACCAAGTTTGTTTTCCAAAGAAAGGATCTCAGTCAAGCCGGCCACTACAATGGCCGAATATTCAATAAGTCTATTAGTATCAATAAATGTAATGTAAAGTGTATAGGCTGCATGAATCTGTCGAAACTACTTGAAATAATAAAATTACTAGGACTTCATGCATTGGAAATAATATTATATGAGTACATCAAATGAAATATGTAAAAATATTTATCCAATATTACGTGAAAATTTCACATAGGCGTGTGTGAACTAAAGGTCACATTATCCTTTGATTGTTAAAGAGATTTCAAACGGGATTATTGACTTTGAAACCACATACAAGTGTCTAAGGATGGGTTGATACTATTTAACTGATCCAATTACTATGCCTTCTAAAATGTGTACAGGATTGGTTACAATTGACGTCCACATAGAAGAGCCTATTCGACAGTCACTTATAGTATTATGACACTTACATGTGGATGCTTCTGTTGGATTCTGAGTGAATTTTGTCAAAATTTCACTGAGCTTGTCTTCTCCATCGAAATCTTTTCTCAAAATAAGCCATCTTTTTCTATCATCTGCATCTGAATAACAAATAATAATGGTAAATATGCATATGTCTACAGTGATGGATTTTAAAACTTTAAAGGCCTTATTTAATTCAGAATCGTATTGATTATTGTTGTCAGACGACACTATAGGCTTACAAAGTTTCTTATGAATCCAATTCAGTGGTTTATTCCAAAATACCAACCTGGATCGAATTCCCCAATCAAAGATCTCTTCTGGAAGTGTGCCTTTTGTGCTGTTTCCAAGCGTTCATGGCCGCTGACGGAGCGTTTCACGTGCTTTCGCAAAGTCAGTTTGAATTTCACGTCTGAATTCAAATAAGCACCAAGGTCAACGTTGCTGCCGTCATTATCAGTTCTGGAGGAAGAGTCCACCTAAAAAAAACAGCATCAATTGTTTAATTTCGAGCCAACCCCCATGAAATAACACAAAAAGAAGAATTTCTTCATTTAACAGCTATGTTAGAAGTAATGTTGAACAAAATTAATATTGCAGTGGGTATCGACTAAAATTCTTTTTCACAATCCTTTACGTTTTTTTTTTTTACAAATTCCACGTGTTATAAAGGCGTTGAATCAATATCTTCTTAACTGACCTGATGGTCCGGCTTAGGAAGCACCTTTAAGTGACCAGTGACGTCAGTCATAACTCCACCATTGATGTGCTGGACTTCATCCGACTCAATGTCCACCTCGTCCCTGTCCAGTTCCTGGCCGTGGTCATCATAGATGTCCTTGGACGACACGTGTTTCTTGATTTCTATTGTCCCCAATTGCAGCTTGGATGTTCTTAAGATAAAGATGAACAATAACACATTTTAACACAGAAACGATATATTTTTCAGCTACAAGATATTCATTGCCACTATCATGCATTTTTTGAAATCTTGGACATTCGCAATATGGAAGCCTTTTTATTTAACGTATGATTTCCTTACAAAATGGCGAAATTAGCCCCCCATTATTTACACAAAATAAAAACGAAAGCGCGCCCTGAAACCCACGAAAACGTGTTTTTTTCTTCTAATTAGTGCTACGAAGATATTTGCACTGGGTAAAAAAGGGGATGGGGAGACTTATACATTCACCTAAAAAATCATGCCTCAGCTTTAAAAACCTACTCATCATTGTTACAGAAACCGGACGAATGACATTTGCTGACATTGTCACTTGTGCTGATCCCATCAAACCATTACTTATTTTGAATATCCACCCACCTGTAATGTGATTTGTGCTTGCCCAAAATGTCCATTTCCACAACATTCTCTCTGTCCCGGACAAGGTTAGTTTGCAGGGCAGAAATTATGGAGCGCTTGAAGTTCATTACATCGACGTCTTCTAAAAAATATTATATAAGGAATGACGGGTGTTAAAAAACATCATCAGGTATAATGTTTATAGAAAAGGGCAAGTAGGTATACAGAACGAATCTATGATACAGTTTTTAATGAATTTCCATTAGCCTTTTCATTTTTGAAGGTTGAGTTCTAAAGTTCGGACATTTCTGTTTTGAGAACCTGGAAATTAGAGTTATTGATTGACGAGAGCAGTTTTTACCTGTATCTTTCTTCGTGAAACTGACATGAGAAATGGTGCCATTCTTCAGTTGAACGAACATCGTTGGCTCGTTGTACAAGTCATCCGCTGATACTGGCTCACCGCTGGTACTATAATGACAAAGACATGTAATTATAATCTTTGTTGTGGAACACATAATTATTAATTATAATTATTAATAATGATGTGAATGTTGACATAGTTTACAACGCCTATGCAAGTGCACGGTCCATTACCGACATACTTCACAAACTTTTTATTGCACAATGCAAATGCTTAAACAAAATTCCTAGTTATCGTTTTACATTAAAAGTTTGTTCTCACCTGTTTGCTTTTGTCATTAGTACATAAACGTTGTGGATGAACATCATAAAGGTAGAAGCGCCGCTTTTACCTGTGCCTGTAAAGATGGAAAGAAATCTACTGAAGATACATATACACAGTTCAACTACGTTACCGAACTCGTTTCTTTGAATATCACTTAAAACAGTGCGAGATTTAGTAAACAGTAGATCGATCAATATATATATATATATATATATATATATATATATATATATATATATATATATATATATATATATATATCGGTCTTGTAATAATCCAATCTTAAAAAATCTATCCAACTATCTATAAGCATATACATTGGATAGATTTACTTACACCAGGACATTGCTACAGTGTATATTGGTTCATACCTACCCAGATACTCTACATCCACGTAAGCAGAGAGCCGAAAAGTTTCATCAGCCGGGCCAAACAACTTTGCCTTACTTTCATAGTAGTAATGAAGTGTGCTGGACTGAAACCAAAAAGATATAATAAATTATAACTTGTTTTACGAAAATCGACAATTATGTGCACAATGAGTTCAACTTTCTATAGGAATTCTGATTTAATGATGTCATTATTCGTTATTTTTCTTACATCAAAAATGTATCATTTATAAAGTTTTCAATTTCGACGACGAGTAAATCTTATAGGCATCTGTAATATAATACTGTAAGGAACTTGTCTATTAATCTAACCTGCATGTCAGTTGAAAATAATTCTGGCTTGTCTTTTGATACATTGTCTTCTTCTTTCTCGCACGATGTTGGTCGTGACACCAAGCCAACTAGACACAGGTACAGTAGAAACTGCATCTTGGCTGCAAGGTCTCTCTCTTCACACTTCTGTGATTATTTTGTTTTATACCTACAACTGGAGAACCAGAGGGGCGTTACCCATCAGAAGTCAAATCAAGATCATTAAAAAATCACAATAATAATATTAACAAACAAACAAACAAACAAACAAATGAATAAAAATATTAAAACTGAAAAATGGAAATCCTTCCAGTATAGGGTCTGGGTTGCGCTTACTGTGTGCTAATGAAAAAGTTTTCAAATCTAGCATAAGATGTTTGCAGTACTTGTGAAGATACGCTTATGTCTTATGTCCTTATTCAGGCAGCATATGGGAGTCAAATAGGTGACCATGAATCTCCATGTCACTGCATACGTTGGTTTCTGAACTTATTTTTTTTTAAATTAAAACTCACTGTATTGGCCCATTTGACCTTGGAAATCTGGTAAAAGAGCCAAAGTATCTTTGAAATCCTGCCAATTTTGCAACAATAACTTCTTTTTCAGTAAATCATAAATTTTACATTATATAAAAACTGATCACACTGCAAAAATGCTATCTGTTTTTTTTTTTTTTTTTTTTTTTTCATGTAACGAAATACCTAAATGTTCAAAAACATTTAGGCAGCGCAAAGGCGAACCAATATACAGTAAACAACAAAATGTAATTGCAAATACTCCCAAAGCATATGGAATATAAGGCTTAAATTTACTCATTTGAGCTTGCACAATTTGTCAAAATAAAAAAAGTTTGAAATATCAACTCAAGACTGAAGTAATACCACCCCTTATTAACCAATAATTATTCTAAGAAAAAAAAACAAATTAGAAGAAAAAAGAGGAATCCTTCCGGTAAAAAATATAGATTCCCTTCACTCAAGTTTTCAGTTTCAGCATCAAATGGCTGGTTCACCCATTTCTTGTGCCTAATTTTTCATTATGTCGGATCAAAAAGCAAAGGTTACACTAAGTGTTTGACATTTGTAAATAAGATTTGGTTCGTATGTACACTCTTTATAAAAACATCACCTGGTGAAGAATGAAAAAAGGAACAACAAAACATCAATTTACTCATGTACTCACACATCGAAAAAATATAAATAAATAAAACACGAGAATGAAAAGAAAATATCCAACTTACCAGTCGACCTGTCTTTCTTATTTCCCAACGAAGGGTCGATGTCAATCACTCCGAATACTGCTTCTTATATATCCTTCCACCGCGCTGTCAAACAGTTGAACATCGTTAAATTTATTTCCTCCTTATTCTCGATTACTATCTTGTCCAGGCCGCTTCCTCCTACACGGACTAAAGGGGAGAGGCTGCCAAGAAGCTTCTGCGGTTTACCCCGGCCAAGGTAACCTTAACAGGTACCGAGCCCCCTGTAAGACCTTACTATGTTACATGTTCGCGGGCTGCGTAGCATTCAGTTTAATTATAAATAAAAAGAACCAGCGCTCTATGCCCCAATTACTCTAATTAATGTTCATTGTTGTCATAGTGCACACATTTGACTGACTTTTATTGGATTTTGCGCAAAGAAATACACGTTTACAAAACTATATTTTCCATTTTGTTTAAGTAAGATTTGAGTGTTCTTCGTAATCTAAATGCGCATCTTAATTAGCCTGTTGACCGGCCGACCACAAAACATTGTACATAAATATAAGGAAAACTTTCTTCCACGAACTGAACATGTGCCCCCAGAAGTCACGTTTTGAATGTAGACATTTAAAACCATTAAGAATAAAGCTACTGTAGATTTAAATTGTTTTTCTTTCTTATCGTTTCCAGTTTCCAGCGAAAGGCAATTATAATGATTCAATGAAAAAACCCCGACAGTACGTTACACTATACTTTAGATCAAAATCATATTTCTCGTGCGCGTTTGCATAAAAATCATTTCTTCAAGGTACAATTGCAAAGATGTTTATTGCAATGATTTAATTAAATAAAATCTAAACCATCATGTGTTGACAGTGCTCTATACTAAACAGCTCATCACACAAAATTTATGTACCTTATATGTGGTGCAATTGAGCACTTTTTGAACTGAGAGAGGGAGAGAGATGGTTTATAAGTAATACATAAATAAAGTATATTTTTGATTTAAAAATGGTATTCGTTTGTCAAGAATCAGATTGAATATATAAGTCTAAAAAAGAAAAAAAAAGTATCAAACTGTACACTGTGCAAGAAGTAATTGTGTGATTATGAGCTTTTTAAAGCAAGGTTGAGCATGGAAAACGGACAGATGGTTCGAGAGATTTTAAGTTTCAGTAAAAAAAATCATTTTAATACTGACTGCTGCCTTGGCCAGTCCCCCCCCCCCCCAATCATCCTGTGAGTACGGTGGTCAGTATAGTAAGTAATGTTAATTACAAGGAGATCCTGATACTTATTAATGTAAACACTTACAATTAAGGTAGTGGCCAGAATTAAAGAAATAGAAAGGCCGATTTCTGCGAAAAGACTTATGGGGATAATTATGATTAAGATGTTGTCCTTTTTGTTATCTTATTTTACGTACCTTAATCGATGCCCTTAATGTGCCATAGTTGACAGTTCTTCCTTAATTTCGGTGATGTATGTGGCTAGGGTACCATGGCGGGCAGAGGCTTTGGTGCGTAGCACATTATACCAAATTAACCACACATCAAGATGGAAAAGCGAATATTAGATCAAAACCTTCCGTGTGGAGATAGGCCGCATCCTGTTGGCCAATGTGACGATAGCCACTTCATATGCAGATGTCACGCTAGACCTGCGTTTTACCTGTGTTAAATGCCGCGTTCACACTGAAGATAACACGGCCCTTTCCGACACGGGGCCAACATGACCATGGGCAGCAAGTGAAGTCCCCCGTTTCTCAAATTAAAATCGTCGCTTGCCATGCCTAGCATTGGGAATGGCGGTAGGCACGCGAACAGAGGTACAACCTTTGCTGCCGACATTTCATTTGGTGTGCTGAGCTGGATCAGGGGACCCATGGATGGATTGAATGTGGAGGGTCAATCTAACAACGTGAACGCGACTGGAGAGCGGGAAATTCCCCCTCGCCATAATCCGAAATAGTTATTTTAAAGCTGAATGCATTCGACCATATTGGATGTAGGAAGGGTTTCTCTTTTTTTTTTCAATAAGCAGGCATTTCGCATCCCCCTCCCCATATCACATTTTTTAATGATTCATGGTTTCTTTGCCATTTCCTTTTCTTTCTATCGACTTTAAAGGAGTAAAATTGTATATCAGTTCATTACTATTTTTACCTGAATATCAAGTCTTTAAAGTTTTGTGGAGAGATAACGGAAAGAAAGAATATTTACCATAGTAATCCATCATTGATAAAGGAGATAGCATGGGAACAAATACTGCTGAATAACCCCCATAAAGTTTAATCAATCCAAAAGCTTTCTAACAAAAATATAATAGAAAGAGAAACCATTGAGGCTTCGGTGTTTAGGCAAAGGATAATAGGTTGGGGATTGAAAATATGACCTCGACATAGTAAAGTCAATTTGTTTTAAGTCACTTTTTGTGTCAAATGTAAATTGTGACTATCTTTAATTTCTTACAAATGCATTGTATTAAATCAGACATTTAAAAAATCGTTTTACCGTGTACCAGTGATGCGGAACATAAAAAGCGCATCATTTTAATTATTATATAATTATTTTGTCAATAATCATAAAGAGATATTTAAAAATAAATTTATCTTAAAAGTTTTACGAAAGTTTTCAGCTAGAGGGCCAATCTCCTAAAATATATTCATTTCATCGAAGGCAACCTTTGTAAGCAGTAAATGTCATTCAATGTATAACTCACCAGTGCAATCACTTCACGCCAAATTAAAGCTAGGAAATAGAGATGTTTTATTGCTTTTTTAATTTTCTAAATCAGAACACCTTTACTCCATCCTGTGAACAATCCACAAAAATCTGCTTATTTCTTCTGTCTTGAGGAAAGAAAGAATATAAGATATGACAAACTGTCTCCATTACTTTCATTTTTCAACTTTAAGAGAAAACATATATTGACAATGTTGAACAAGCAGGAGTCAAAATCATGGATTTTGTTCGCACAAAAATGTGTCTTTCCTGCGGAAAAAAAAAGAAAAGATGGAGCTTTCTCTTTTATTTGTAAAAAAAAAAGATTTTCATAATGGCTTAAAGTGGCACATTAAGTGGACATAGTTTCGTATCCAGTGTCTCTTGTGGTCCACCTTGGTCGCCACATGGCATGTGGTGTTTTCTAGGTCTCTTACCGACAACTATAGATCAACCACACAAGAAAGAGTTAGAATGACAAGGACCAAAATATAAATGCAGTAACCGCTGTATGGTAAACACGCCTTCCTCTGACGTATGAGGAATTTTACTTTCCATACATTCCATTTCATAAACTTTGTTTCCTCTTGTTTTGTTGTCACATTTTCCATATTCTTAAGGTAATTAAGACGTTACCCCTCTCCTTCCGACGCATCTTTTTAAATTATGATTTTAGATATGTCCAGAGCGCTTTGAAAAAAGAAAAATGAAAAAAGTATATATAATTATATATAACAACACATAACATAATTATTCACTTACACGTAATTGATTTGATCTTTGGATAACTTACTTACATATACATATAGTTTTTCTGAAAATATCAACCATCATATTGTGACAATCAATACATGGGAGTAAGCTCATAATAAGTCATTTAACTCACTGGCCTTTATTTATTACAGACGCGTTCATTCTGTTATCACAAAACGCATGACAAAACGCAGCTGTGCATCAAATTTGTCCTTAAGGTATAATAAATGGCAAAGAGATTCATTCGAGACTTAATGTTAAATCAAGCGGGATTTCTCGAGACTTGGAGAAGAGTGAGATCCGACTGACTGGCGAGTACGGTCCGGTAACAAACGTAAGCTAAGAGAATCTATCCACTGACATTTTTGGTTTTTTTCTCTCAGGTTCTGTCGAATAACAGTCTATTGCACAACTATACGAATCCATCATGTTTTGGCATCACTTTTGTACTACTTTCACACTTAACGCTAAAGAGTTAACCCAACCTCGTGCGGATTTTTCGCACATTTTCTGGTTACGTATGACGTCACGTAGTACCTAAATCCTCGGATAATTTCCATTTTCATCAGCCATAACGTCTCTTCTCCGACGGGACGGTCAAGCCAATACAATAAAAAACACCAGGGAGAAAACATCTATTAAAGCCAGTTTATCAATGGTGGACCGATACAGGCGGCTCTCAAACAAGAGAGTTCGGTTTAATAGCTGGTCTTTGCAATAATCTAGGTGATGACACCACGGGTAGAGCGTGGCGGTGTTCTATTTGTTCTTGTTGTTTTAATGCAGCCTTATCTTTCTTGACAAATTTGTTTTCAGAAGTCTGTCGTTCCGGAGCTGAGTGGAGCTGGCTGATGTCTGGCAGACTTTTGGCCATGTAACGCAAATCACTAAAATCATCTGTTGAGGCAAATGCTGGAGTATGTCTGTCTTGCTGCATGAACCCAACATGCTTTTGGTTGTGTTCCCTTCCATTTTCACACTTATCTTTTTTGTATCCACTGCCTGTATCGGTATCCAACATATTTGAAAACACTTCTTGCTTTTTTGTCTGTGTGTCTATAATGTCTGCATTTGGTCTCTCAGAACCATTCGATTGCACCAGATTGCTCTTTGTTTCCTGACAACGCTCCCTCTCTTGCGCCAGGTCGCGCAGCGCCATCTGGAATGGGCGGGACCCATGGGGCAGCGGGGGTCGACCAACACCAAAATTAACTGGAGAGAGAGCGTTCAGGCAACGGTCAATGTAGGTATCGGTGGAAAGGTTTGGCAAAGAACCGCCGATATTGGATTGTTTTAAAGTTCCGCCCGTCCAATTCTGACGTTTTGGCACAAACCCCGTTTTCCAAAGCTTCTCCGTACTTCCGAGAGGGGTCACGTGGGTTGAGCCCCCTGGAGATCCCCGGGGGGTGCTGCGAGGACTGGTCCGTGGGGTGCTGCGCGGCGTGCTTTTAGGGGACGCCTCTGGTGATAACACAGGACTGTGCTGGGACGCTGGCAAGGCAGACACAACACGGCGTCTTGGGTGTGGTTCCATTTCCGGCACCGTCAACAAATATCTGGGAGCGTTTTTACGCCGCAGTATACGTGGTGAGAGTAGAGCACTCATTGGCATTGCTTTTACACCCTGCCTGCGTTTGCTTAAGTAGTCGTCCATACACCCAAAACTC